ATCGCCTAAGGGCGGAAGTCGTTCGAAGGGGAAATGTTCCATCCGATACGCGTCCACCACTGTCTTGTCAAGGAAGAAATACGTCAAGAGCGATACAATAGATGCAGTCTGCTCTGGAGCTGGTGTGGCGGAAGGATTCTAATGCAATCACCGTAATGCAGGCATCAGAGACACAGGAAGAGGCAGACACCGGAAATATGTCACACCTTGGGATCGAGCGGGACATATCGCCGGGGAATGAGCAAAGGAACAATTACAGCAACAAGTGTGAGCATGGCGAGCTTCGCCCAGAGTAGTGTGCCCTCGGCCGCATCTACAGGGGTGAGTGGGACTGTCGCGAGCGGCCAGGCGTCACGGTAGATGTAGACAAGCCATGTAGATGCGAGAACGACCGCGAGATGGCGTGTCGTCGTGCCTATCGTCGAAGGCGCGGCGAGAATCGAATGCAGCGCAAGGAGCGAGGAGTATGTCTGTGTAGAATGTGAAAGAGCGTGCGAGGCCCGTTGCAAACAATACGTACAAATGTTACACAGAGCGCGAGATGCAACCAAAAAATGTTGAGCTGCAGTTTCTCTGTCATGTCGCCCCATCCCATAGTGTATGCAGTATAGATGGTCATTCCGAGCAGCGCGAGACACCCCGCGAGCCGTACGGCGTTGAAGATTCGGATAGATGTGTCGACCGGCTGCAGGCTCGCGGCCATCATGTTTGATGCTTCTATCACGTCGTCAAAATCGGCCTCTGCACTGTCACTAATTTCTGCAGCATTGGATTTCGAATAGAGTTTTTGGAGCGTAAATTGGAGGAGAAATACAAGTACGGATGCACATGCGACATAGCCGGGGATGGCGAAGGTATCGAGAAGACAACTGCAAATATAACGCGAGGGGTTAGTTTCCGTTGCACCACTGGCACGATCGTAGTAAACCAGTGTGTAGACCGTGCACCTGTTTCCCTCCCATATGGTCCAGCTATTGCTATCCGCAACCACAGGCCCCAGCACCACCTGCCCCTTGCCGAAGTCACGGTAGTCTCTCTCTCGATCTGCAATCCAAGCTGCCATTTCAGCCTTGAGCTAGATTCCTTAAGCCTGCGCGCAAGGCTGACGTTATATAGCTCGATATTTAGCGACCGAGGATGTACAGTCATCAAGGCGAGAATGGAGAACGCGCGCAACGCGAGCCCCATCAGCTAAAGTTGGTATCGTAACCGCGGTGAACAGATTGGCGCGCCTGTCAAGATAGAGGCTGTGGGGCTGACAGCAGACTAAGATGCTGTACGCCAATCACAAGCTCGCAAAGCTGACAGGGATTCGATCAGGGGTATCATACAAAATTCCGCGATAGATATAACGGGACGGCCATGCAAAGCCGTACGACGCTTGAGACAAAGTACTCACGAGGGATCACCGTCGTCGTGGACACGTTCACTTGCTGCGGCGCCCACCACAAACGGCGCACTGCCGCTCATCCTCAAACTGTACGGCAAATTTCGTCAGTATCATGTCCCCCGTAACCTTGGTTGTCCCCCGTATGTCGCACTAATGTACGGTCGCCCGCGCCGCTGATAATCAACGAGAAGCGTGACCTTGCGCATGGATCTTGCGCAGCGGAGCGGGAGGAACGCACTGGTCGCAAGCGCGAGTCCAAGGACATTTGTCCTGAACTATGCTGGGCCCTCGTGGGTGTCAGAGCCGGGCAGGACGAAACGGAACTCTCACGTCTGCGAAGAATTATACGTCCAACGCGTCGATATCGCTGCTATAGTAACATTTGGACCCTACGGGAAGTGATAGCGAGAGAGAGAGGCGGACGGAATGGAGCACATTACACTAGCGGATGGGAGCGAAGTCGAGCTAATGAGGTGGGGCAAGTCAGGGACGCGGGCTTGCTTCTCGCTTACGTACGCACCACTTCGCCAACTTGAACGCATACGGTAAACTTTGGTCAGTTGGACACAACCACATCGGTCGGCAGTTTCAATTTCGGTCGCACCTTCGCCCTTGCTTCTTGAGTACATGGTCACAGGCCAACAACGGTAACGGCGCCTTACATCATGCCGACTCTCGCGCGTACGTCTGGCTTTTGAACCTCCCGTGCTGCTACTACGTGTGGCTCCTCTCAGCAGTCCGCTTTGCCTGCCGCTGCCCGAAGGCCAGCAAGCCTCTTCGCCACGTGCTTTGCATAAAGCGGGGGAGGGCCATCGTGCGACATGAGCATCCAACAGATACGGTGCGTGTGCACTGTTCGTTGGCCGAGACTGTCCCCGGGATTGCCCGCTGGCTGTCAAAAACGGCAGTGCAAGGCATACACAACCACTGGCTACCAACCTCAAGCATATTGTACATCCTGACAACGTGAAGGATCGAATTGCTGAAACTAACTGAGTTATTATCAGAAAGGGGTCACTGCCCCGCATGCAGCGTTTACGGACCTGCCATGTTCAACATAAAACTTGTATACAACGCAGATGAGCCACTGTAGACAAAATATACTTCCAGACTGGTGGAAAACATTGCACCGAGCGCGTCAATACAAACCGATATCCACCTGCGATCATTAGTCAAACGTGCCATCAGACAGATATAATGAACGAACACACCAATTTAGGTTGTTGAACCTCGAGGCCCTCGTGTACTTACCGATAGGCTTGAAAGATTCCTTCCTAAATAAATCCTGCCAACCGTAGGCCCTCATGGAGACTGTAGGATTGGTCATTCACATCATTTTTGATATGTTTGACAAAGATTTACTCAGACCTGTAAAAGCAGCACTAAAAATACCGAGAACTGGGGCGCGAGCATTACTTATTTCACGCTTGACGGATAGCTGTGCCTTCATGTATACTTGACCCATCCACGTCCCGGCTGCAGCGAGGAACGTTCCTGGGGAAACGAAGATCGGTGATAGGCACCAACGGTTACATGTTTGACCAGCATGCACATCGTCATGTTCATGAGTGTCAAGACAAATGGCAGGTATGCCATTGAACGTTTAGAAAGCGCTTATTTGTGCTTCGCATGAGTGATATATAAAACATGGGAGGATGGCACGTACCTGACTGGGGCGGACGTATCATAATAAGCTCGTGTAACCGCAGTTGTTCAACTAGGATGGCAGCATCGACCACAAGTCCATCCATAACGCTTGTCGGCAGGTTGTCGGCCGGCTATCATCATTTGTTCCGATTTACACTTCGCAGCACCTCGATGCTGATCATCGCGTGTGATCTGTCACGACAGTTCCATGTCGTAAGGCCGTTTACAACTAATTACATGCGGACGACATACCGGCTGAGGGCTTACATCTGTCAAATTATGCATGGTGCTTCATTGTACAAAACTGAACCAGGGAAAAACCGAATTGAATTATTGTCTGGTATTCTTGAGCGATGTTTTGATGGCAAAATCTCGGGTGCAACAACTACATCTGCATATACCCATTAATAAAGCAAGAACTGCAAGCTTATAACGGCTTGCACTGTCCAGCATCTGCGCGGAGCACATTCGTGCATGGGTTATCCTCAGGCTATTGCTCTGAAGGGTTGATTCAGCAACATCATCATTGACATACGCGACAACTGACATGGTATCCATATTTTCACTTCTCACATCCCCTCGACAACGAAGAATGCGCTATGCACTGGGCGTGCGCATCTTACAAGGATAGTACATGTTCCTATCCCATCTTCTGACTTCAGTGTGGTGGTCAAAGGTTAAGTCAGTCTGAGCCTGAAGCTAGGAAGTGTTATGTAGATACCTTATTGCTTACACAGCAATGAAGGACTCTGACCCCCATTGCTATGGCAACTATCTGTTATCAGTGCCTTAAAGCTGGGGCCTAGGCCTTTAGACCTTGAACCAGTAGCACATTCTCCTCCCTCCTTTTTAGTGTGTCAGAAGGTGCAATGGACCCTGAACTCACCCTGGGATGAAGTGTTTGGGGTCAGACCTTCTGATGTTCTGATGATCTTTGAAGAAACCAGGGGTTCATAAGTCACCTGAGCTGAACACAGGCAGTAAAATTCCCAGAGAAAAGAGTACAAGAGGGTAGGGAGCTGTCTGTGATATCCAGCAACTCTGCTGTTACCTCCGTCGCCGTCCGTAGACTGCACTCCAGTCGACGCATTCATCATGAGCAATTCGGAATCTACAACTCATTGGCAGGGGGAGATCATGCAGCAATACCTCGAGGTCATAGAGAAGGAACGCGAGGCTGGCTACGAGAGCGACGAGGCCATGTCCACCGACTCAGAATACGAAGAGGAACATTCACTCCCTGTCGACGTCTCGCACATCTCCTCCGCCATTTCCTCCATCACACTTTACGACGCGACGCACCCCGAGGACATCGAGTCCGACGATTCCGCCTTCAGTAGCGACGACGAATACGCGAACGACAATGCTCGGGAAGAGCAGCGTTTGCGACGTCTGCTAGTCCTCGGGCGTGCGCCACCGAGTCTGCTACTCTTGCGGGGAAGGCAGCTTACCGATATGCAAGAGGCGTACATGAAGCAGCTCAACGACGCTGACATTGAGCTCGCTGAGCTGACGAACACTGAGCCCCAGACTATCGCGCAGCGCCCCATCACCGTAGACTACCGCGAGCCCGTCGACCTACGCGGCCCGGATGTGACGACTATTGTGCGAGAGCTACGAATGCGCTCACAAAAGGAGATCGCAGAAGTGGAAAAGCCGGACGCTGTTCGTTCATTGGTTTTGCTGGCGCAGGCGCTGTTCAGGAAGGAGCGGGATATCAAGCGGATCTATGCCACCAGGGAATGAGGGGACGTCAAAACGTACCATGATAGTAACTAATAGCATAAGTGCGAAAGCATTCATTCGAGTCATATTGCAATGGTCAAGGGCGAACTGAGCAAGTGCGAGGAACGCAGCAACGCGCTCGATACGACTTGTCACAGTGCACACGCTTTGACGACACGAAGTGTCACACGCAAGTCACACACTCAAGAAACATCCAATCAAATGCCTCATTGCAAAAAGTGGGCTGTAGCATTGAACTCTTTGATTCAAAGCGATCACTACACTACCGCTACACTCGAGTCGAGAATACTAACGACGACTATATGTTCCGAGGAAAAACTGTGCACAAGTAGTCTGCAAGAGGGAGGGGTACAAATACATATATACTCTATTAGTTAGACATGGCAATTTTTGAACCAAAAGCATATCATAAAGTGAGCGTCCAGTGTGGAGAGCAATAGTAACCTGTAGATGGTGAATCTAGAAGTGAGGGGGAAGATTAAGGAGATGATAAAGCGTAGGCAAAGCGTATCGTATAAATGTTGGTATGGTCGGTTTGAGGGAATCCTGGTCGTCTTCACCGTCTACGCCAAATCATGACTTCGAAAAACACGTAATGGGAAGCCAGACATCTTTCCAGAGCAGGCATACTGGCTTTCAAGCGCTATGCTCCGTATCCACCGGCTTCTCCTCAACATCTTTCGCTGGTGCCGGTAGCGTTGGGACGAACTTTGACTTCCTCCGAATGATGGGCCCAAACTTGTACAATACAAATGGAATAGGTCCCAGGAGGATGGCGATAAAACCAAGAAGGGACGACGCCCATCGGGGACCAAGGCGTTCGTACATTTGTGCTGCAAAGAGCGGGAAGCCCGCACCAAAGAATGAACGAGTGACGGTGTTGGCAGCGAGTGCGGACGCAGCGACGAAGAGGTAGGCATCAATCATGTAGTTGAACAGAGCGAGGAAAATCCAGACGATGCTCCAGCCCAGCGGTAACCCAGCGACGAGCGGTGCCCAGTAGCTCACATGCGGATAAGACGTCCACCCAAACCAGAAGAACGATACAGCAAGCATGGGCGCGGCCCACATTGCGATTTCGAGGCGCATCTCTGGCGGGACAGGACGGGGAGCATGTCGCGCGCGGGCCTTGACGTAGCGAGGATTAAATATTAGCAAGTACGCTGCGACACCGGTTATTCCGCCAAGGAATATTGGAAGGAAGGATAGGCCGAGGAATCCCATGTTGAAACCATGCATTTCGGTGAAAATGATCGGGTATGCTTCGAAGAGGATGTAGATGCATCCATACACGAACTGTTTCCAGCGTCAGCAATCCGGCCGCAAACTAGATCGTAGTGCTACTCACACTCATGTATAAGCAGATTGCCAGGAGCATGGGCTCTTGGACGAGCATAACGAACGGCCGGCCCAGTACATGCGTAATGAGTGGGATAATCTCGAGCGTCTGCCGCTCGAGCGGAGCCCAGTAGCGGTCATCGCCGGTTTCCTTGCGTAATCGCCGAGCCTTTCTCACCAATAAAATTGGCCTTGTGAGGGAAACCGTCAGCCACCAGTTAAATATACGGAACGGGACTGACGTACAAATATGTCTCCGGGAGTGTAAATATTAAAGCAACCAGGCATGCACCGGCAAAAAATGTCAACAGCCAGTAGACCCATCGCCAATCGACGCCAGCGACCGACATAAAACCCGACACTACAGGGCCCAGAGTAGGACCAGCGAACGGTGCAAGAGTGAAGAAGGCTAGCGCCTCCCCACGAGTGTCGGCATCCCAGATATCTGATATTACCGCGCTGGAATAAAACCTCAGTTTTCGGGAAGCATGAAAACCGATAGATTACTCACCCGCTATTCGACAACGGCGCGGCAGCGAAAGTCCCACCAAGGAATCGGAATATCAAAATGGCCGCTGTATTAGGTGACAGTGCGCATCCAACTTGAAAGCCGGTGTAGAAAACGAAAGATATAATGAAGACATTCCGCCGTCCAATATATTCGGAAAGTGGACCCCAAATGAGCGGACCAAGACAGTAACCGGCGACAAACAGCGAGATAGTCAGGGTTGCAACCTCCTCACTGAAGTGGAACACATCCATCATGTCGAAAATAATGCCTTCTGGCGCAGAACTCGCAAATGTGCTTGAAGAAGCAGTCAGGGCTCAGTTCGGCGATGTAAAAAAAAACATGGACATACGCGTTCAGCACAAGAACACCAGCTAGCATGGTCAGATACCAGCGATATACCCGCGACCATGATTTTGGATGCTCGGGATCATCTTCTGCTATCGTTACCTCGTACTTATCCCAGCCCTTTTCGCCCTCATGCGGGCCATATGTTTCGCGCTCGAATTGAGACAGGACATCATCGTCCTCGCGGTCATGTGGAGACTCGACGACTGTCGAAGAATGCGAAGTTGTCTCCACATGGGATGCGTGCGATTCTGAATTGAGCTGCCTTGACAGCACTGGGGGTGATTCCTGTGCGGTAAGAGAAGGAGATGGAGGATTTCGCGGATGAGTGGACGCCATGAATGTTGGAGAAGGGGAGAAACGGGCAGATACGGGCAATATGAGCACAACACGAATGAGCCAACTGGAGAACGAACTCCACCTTTACGCTTTAGTATTGTCAGCTCGTGCGGCCGGAGCGGTCGAATGTCAGCAATGAAAGTAAGGCTTACGCCGGCGCTTCAGTGTACCACAGGTCCAAGATGAGTCACATTGTCACGCTCCTCCGCGCGGGCGCGGGGAGCGGCGTGACAAAGTGAGTCACATTGGAGCGCTGAGAAACGAGGATCCTCTGTGACGCGGCGGGTGACTGATTTTGACCCACCCTCTCCGCGCCGTCGAGCAACGCAAGCAGCCGTCCGACAGAGGCGCACCGGCCTGTGGGAGCGACCATTTTGGCAGTCATGCTGAGTAACGCGCAGAGAAAAACTTATCTCGCGCAGCGCACTAGCCAAGTGTCATCTGCACAGAGACTTTGTCAGCACCATACAAGTGGATACTAGCGATGGATCTCGACATGTCCGATTTCCGTCGCTGATATGACTCGACGATGCTCGCGGATTCGGCCATGGCTCGGCGATGAGGAAGCATTTTAGCAAAAACAAATATCAGATTTCACTTGGACCTGGTCGAAGGCACTCGTGATATGCGGAACATTCGAGTCGCTGGAACTTACGACTGTACGCCTCGGGCCACTCGTGCGAACACCGACAATCAATATTAATCAATGACGAGCTCTTGATCATCTGTCAGTGCAAGTGTCCGACAATCCGGACTTGCTTCATTTGGGCACTCGGTGATGGTGCTGAAAACACAGGAGGTGGCTTGGCGTAGTATACCACACTCCTTACAGCCGCCGGTGCGCCATTATAAGAGCCTGCTAACCACAAGTTCAGTAAATTGCCCTAAAGATTACTACGATGAACCCTTAATCAATCAAGGGGCTCAACGCGGCGCTGCAAATGACAGGAAACTCACACGTGGTTGAGTCGGTGGCCTAGATGAGTCTTTGCTACCATATCCCCTCCCGCCGCAAATGTTCGTCAGCTTGTCGTCTAAAGGGAAGAATAAGCGCGACCAGCGCGGACGAATGTCGATGGGGGTGAGTGAGCACGATGGACGAGCGTCAAGTGCATGATTATATGGCTTGCAGCTGAAACGGGACACTTTCACTGCCCGATCTCCCGCCCGCGTTTCACCCATCAACTCGAGCCCGACTCGAGTCTGCACCAGAGGCTCTTCATCAGTTATGCCAGCTTTTGCTCGTCGCTCGAGCGAGTCTTTTCGTGCTGTCACTGCTAAGGTACTTGGTATGAACGGCCTTCCAACGGTGTGGCTAAATTTCCACATGATTCGAGATATCGCTAAAAGGACCGACCCGGACGTAGTCCGAATCCCATCAATTACCATGAATATATGCTTCTCCACGGAGTGCGGGTGGGGGCTGGTGGGGGACCATCAGCTCCATTTTCCCACTACTTACGCCGCGATGTAGCGCATTGTACGAAAGTAACCCCGCACTGCGGAGCCCAGATTACGCACAACACCACCGTACAGTACCTCGGCCCAGCTTCCTCAGCTCAGCAGCGTAAACGCTTAGCCTCGATCGAAAATAGCCACCACTACCAGTCAAGCGGCTCAAGCCGAATTCCTAGAAGAGTGAAAATCCTTTGAACCGCTGGGCCAGCAATCTGCATGGGATTCGGACGCGAAGTTTGAACAGCCTACTCGAGCTGTCAGATCATGATTCACGGTGTCACCAGATACTGGCAGCAAAAGGACACTCTACGCTACTCTACGTTCCTCGTGGCATGCCGTGCGTATGCTGAATTCTGCTCGAAGACTCAACTGTGTTACCACAGCGCCCACAGAATTGCAAGTAGATCGTGATTCCATTAGACGCAACATGAGGGACATCTCATCACGTCGTACAAACCATTAGATAGCTAATGCATAAGTGTACATTCATTGTCGCATTACATCGCCCATTCTACAGGGACACGGACACAGACAGAGATAGAACAGCCCTCAGACGGGCGGCGCACACCCAAAGCTCGTCGCCTGCGCGACCTTGAACGTCTCCATGATCTCCGTGCCAGAGCCGTACATGCCCAGACACGCCATTGCGAGCGCGGCGAAGGCGAGGATGAAGTTGAACATCTTGAAGTGCCACGGGCCGCCAAAGAAGCCCTGCACGACGACCCGACGCCACGTTCAGCACATGAGCATGCACAGAAGAGTAGAAAGACGTACGCGACTCCACGAGAGCTTGCCGTCTGCGCCGCGGCCGTCACGGAGGAAGTAGAACCCGAAGATGAGCGCAGGTGGGAAGGTGTAGGTGAACTGCATGATACAGATGGCGGCGACAAGCCCGGAGATGGTCTGCACCTGAGGGATGGCCGCGCCGACGATGAACGCAAGCGACCAGTAGAGGAACACCATGCCTGTTGCGCAAACGACCCGGCTGTTAGTACCCATCCATGATACTTAAGCACAAAGCCGAAGTAGACGCACCAGTCCAGATGATACGGCCGGCACGGCTGACGAGTGGGGGACCTCCGAGCATGTCCTCGACGATGCTGTAGTACGCGACTTTGATTCCAATATTGCCGTACAGACCGGCGGCGATGATGCCAGTTATGACGGCGAGCACGTTGCCGACCGTTTGCCAAGAGTACTTGCTGACGCCCTGGTATGCAAGACCGAGGGTGTACTGGCCCTGGTAGCTGTACACAAACAAGCCTGGTCGGGCGAAGAATGAGGCTACAAAGCAGCATTGAAGAGAGGAAGTGTCATACCGTAGAGAAGGTAGGCAACGAAGATCAACAGCTGCGCAGAGCACATGCCCTTCCAGAAGTCCCAAGGGCGGCGCATCTCAGCGAGCATCTCGGGGAAGATCATGGCACCTCCGTAGGCTATGTGCGCGGCGATACATATCAGAGAAGGACACCATGAGTACTCGATGAAAAACACCCACCAAACACCATGTTCATGATTCCATTCACTTTTGCGGAAATAGGCTGGCTGACGAAGGTGGATGTGATGACCGGGCCATCTCCAATGGCAGGGCCGTATGCGGCTTGAGCAGAGGCGTAGTTCGGAGGCGAGTGCGCAACGAAACCCATGGAGATGAAGATGATGCTAGAAATGGGTCGGAAACAATCAGGACTCGGTGCAGGGACAAGTCCAAGCTGCTGCTTACGCCAAGTTGATCCATACGGCACTGCGGGTGCAATCAGTGAATATAGCGATATTACAAGGCGCGAACCCAGATAGACGCACGAGTTTGCGAGCCAGCCGTAAGATTTGAGCGAGCGGATCTGACCGATGACCATACCAACGAACGCCCAGATGACGATGCATACCGCGAAGCAAAGCTACAAAAACGCGCGCGTGCGCTCGTCAGTCCGTGTCAGCCATATGCAGCAGCATACACGCACATGTTCTTTGGAGATCTGGCTGATTGATTGGCCGTTACTGAGGCAAAGAGTGCCAACGTTGATGATCAGCTGGATGCTCTGTAGAATGGAGACGGTATGGCGTGCAGCACGGCCGAAGATACGATCAGCGAGATCGCCATAGGTCTTGACGGGGAAGACATCGGAATCAAGCTTAAGGAACAGCCACCAAAGGAGGAGACCGGTATAGCAGGCGATAGCGCCCATCTGCCAGACACAGAGATGCGAAATCAGCCGCCGCGGTGAGTCTGCTAGGAGGTACGCACGAAGAAATACAGAAGGACACCGGGGACATAGCCCACTTGGCTTAGTGCGTAGGGCGCATTGAAGGCTAGAAGTGAGGATGTGAACAAATTCCATGTGCGGACGACAGGACAGAGACATACGCCCAAGGATATCGGTTGTAATCAGATAGAAGGCAGCTGCCCACTGATGACAGCACCGAGTATTAGCGTGGGAGGCGGGGAGCCGGAGAGCGAATTGGGGCTTACCGAGGCAGAGCGGAGAGCTCTCTGGGCGTTGAGTCTTTCCCTCTCATCAGCGGTGAGAGCAGCCTCAGAGGCGACAGCATTTGTGGAAGATTTCCTGTGCATATATATGCATGAGATTCACGTTGCTGATGTAGGGGAGGCGACACACTCATTGCCCGAGGAAGAGTCGGGGGACGGAGGGCCCTCACCACGGTGTTGGAGTTCCTCGATTTCACGTTGGCGGACAGCAGCCGCAAGGTATTCCTCAAAGGAAACTTTGCCATCTGAGGAGGAGAGAAAGGGCGCTGAGACGGGATGTATGTTATCGAAAAAAAAAAAAA